GTTTATTGTTTTTCAAAATGCATGATCTTTATCGTTGTTACTTTGGACCATCACTATACATTGCAATTCAATCATGAACGGTATTCTTCTTATACCTACAATAAACACAATATTGACAATACAAAGGCACATGGTATATTAAACATCGTATAAGACGTATTATTGTGTTATCTGGGAACTTATTTCAGTTCTATATGTATTTTTTTCTTTAAGCATCACGGATTTTCAATTAATAGTGATGATGATAAATAAACTAACATTATAAAAATAAAAAAGCAATTTTTAAAAATAATTAATTAATAATAATAATGGTATTTATTTTTAAAATATTCATTGCATTATCCAATTAATATAATAAAACAAAGTATAAAAATACGTACTTGATATTTTTACTTAGGTATATATTTGTTGTTAATATTAATTTATTATTATTTAGTCGTGATATGTACAAAATATGTTACTGTCAAAGTTGGCTTGAAATTTACTGTAGTGGTACAGTACCTACCTACAAATGTAAACATGTTTTCTAATTACATATTCATGGAAAAATATGTTGTTATTATTTATGTAGTTTATTGAACTAAACATGACAAAATGATTAAATCATAAAATCAATTGGAAATTTTAATTTACTTGGTAATTTTTAAATTGTTTTGCTTCTTTTTACAAATTTTTTTTATTTTTTTTTTTTTAATATCAATGGAACTATCTATAATAATAGAAATTACTTTTGTTAACTAATGTTTCGTTATTCCTCAAGATTGAAGATGATATCAATCGCTAAAGACGTTATGAACACAAAATTATTTAAAAAAATAAATTTAAGGAACCTGCAATTCAAAATAACCAATCATGGTATTACTCTATTATACGAGTTCACAACAACAAAAAACGGCTTTTTATGTAATATAATTTCTTGCTTTAATCATCTAAGTTAATAATTGTTTAATAATTTAAAATATTTAAAATACTAAAAGATCAATTAATTTAATTTTACATAAACCTAAAGATTATTACATTTCATAATATATTATATTATATCTCTAGTACATATTATATTATGCAATATATATCACATATACCTGTATAGTATATAAATGTGTATAGTGTATGTTTTGTGCCGTATATGGTTTTTGTAAGTTATTCTTGAGAAACGTAACAGGACAAATTATTCCGATAGTCGCACATAATCGCATTATTGCATCGATTACACGGGTAGTTAACATTTTATAACTGTATTATTGGAATACCAATTGTAATACGTTTTTATACATAAAATATATAATAGTAGGTATATTATGTAGACATTTCGTGTGTGTATCATGTCTTAGGTATCCTATACTTGGGAGCATTAAACTGTTGAGAAACAAAACATTTAAATACAATGCTCATACGAATAATATATATATATATATATTATTTATTATTATTATATAGTTATACAGATACTACACACGTGCAGATATAAATTTGCCATTTACATAGGTCGATCGATTTATTCCCATTATAGCGATCATGAATTATGATCACTTGAATTTAGAGAATAATAACTATCACGACTATATTCTTAGGTATTACGTTAGCGTCAAAGAAAACTTTGCACGGTTCGAATGCAATACATTAAACAACTATATTTAATATTTTACTAAACAATACTAGCTACCTATAATAATAATTACAACAAATAGTATTTGATTTAAAAAAGCACTTTTCAATGCTATCATTTGAAACTATTATAACTTGAAAAAAAACTGGTAAATTATTAATGATTTAAATTATTAAAATATAATTTAATTTTTAATTTTTTAATAATATTTTTATTTTCCGAAATTGCTTAGATTATACCACTCAATAATTAATTATAAAATATAAATACTATTATTTATAATCAATAATGATACGTTATCATACTACTGTAGTTATTTTTATTACAAGTATCTAAAATTTAAAAAATAATATTTATATTTATACATCAAATAGTTGAAAATGAATTGGTTCTTCTTAACTCTACTACAGCAGCGATTTACTGTTGAACTGCTGGTTAAAATACAAAAATAAATTCCGTGACAACTTTGGTAGTTTGATAATATAATAAACGTCGATATGTAGTGTATTAAAATAATCTAATATTTTACATATTAATGGTTATGGCTGCTATGGGTGTTATGATACAGAATATTATAAAATAATAATAATAATAGATACTAATTTTAATTTGTACTAAGGTGCATGTCATAAAAAAGGCGTATAGCATTTTCTTCATTTGTCTGTTCAATTCCGTAACACTATGTCGAGAGATCGTACCGACAACAATTTCCCAGCACGAAGACATTTAATATTATATAAATCCTCATCTACTAAATCGTTTTATACGCAGATGGACATAAATCCGATCGTAATTATTGATCATGCAGAGTATAATATGATTAATATGTAATTTGTGTGTAACAGTGTATTTCTCGGTAAAACTCGAGCGCACATCACCGTAATAATATGAGGGCGGTGGATATTAATATAATATAATGCAGGTGTATATAATATTGTATTATTGTAAATTATATACATACCGTAAGGACTAAGGATAGCCATAGGTTAGGTTAGGTTAAAATATAATACGCTTATGCGGCTATAATAAGAAACCGTTTGGTTGTAAAAAAATTGTATATATATGATTTCAAACACATCATAAACCATTTTAAGTAGAATAAAATATAATCAAGCCATTCGTCAAATTTTATTATAGTTTCATAAAATATAGCTTTTAACACAAAATAAATATAATACCTATAGCTAACAATGAAGACGTGCAGTATAATGCATCTGTTATCTATAATAAGTATACATCACGGTCGTCTTGACGTTCTATTTCGTCCAATAAAATAAAATATTATGTATACTCATTATTTACTGTAGAACCTAATACACAGCTAGTATAATACAAATAATACGAATATACGATTGAGTAATAGGTAGATATACCCGTATACAATATTTATTCAATATATTATATTATTTGTATAATAATTTTCAAATGAGCACTTGCACAATAAATTGCACATAAATGTATACATTTTTATTACTTTGATTGTTATACAACACAACGAAAGCTATATTTAGATTTGTAGTTCAAAAATATTTTTTATATTACAATAATGTATACTTGCATTAAATATTTCAGTTTCCCTTGGAGGTACGGCGTCATTTTTCCTTGGTTGTAGCGTTCTGTCTTTTGTCGAGATCGGATACTACCTTACACTAAGACTGTATTGGTTTGCCAATCGAAAACATAAAGATTAATACAATGACTGTCATATACTCATACTCCATGAGTATTTAGCAAAAATGAACAACAAGTAATCTATTTATTTAATTTTTGCAATATTATTATTTTAATGATATCTACCTAAGCATAATCTATATTTATTTAAATGTATATATATATATTTTACATTAAATTTTAGATTTTTAGAGTAGTGATAAATCTATTGATTTTACTATGTTGAGTTTTTTTATGTCAAAATCATTTTTTCTATTATTGAATTTAATTTATACTCATTCATCACTGCAACAAGCTACTCAACAATTATTTAGATATACTCAACTCTTACTAACTGTACAGCAAGACAATTAATTTCGTATATACTTGTGCTCTTTTTAAACTGTACCTATTACCTACTTTTTTTAAATCAAAATGAAAATCTCACATGCCTACCTATAAATATCCTTATTCCTACATCACACACATTATAATATCGAATCATAACAGCTGTAATATTCATATCTTATAATAATAATTAATACGACAATAATAAAAAGTGTGTTTTCTCATTTTAAATATTTTACTATTACAGTAATTATTTATAAATATACAACTTTAAGAGTAAACGATTTTACAAAATAATAGGTAGGTAATATGTGTTAACTGTGATATTATAACATACCTACATAACACTAGAACAGTACCGCAACTTGCATGAGTGCTGGAGATAAATTATATCCCAATAAAGCCTAAAGCCTAATAATTTCACGAGAAAGTTCTCAAGACACCAAGTTATTTAACATTAACAATTTTATAAACGGATAGACCTCCAAATCCCTAGCTGTAACACTGCTATACGACGATATATTTAATTATCCTAATACTAGAAACCAGTGGCGGCTATAGGTACTATAAACGATAGGTCTAGCTAAACGTATGAACCAGACGATATAAGTACTTACTAGTATATATGTGTTATAATACTCGAACTAGGCGAATCAACGTTTTAAAAATAAAAATATCCGCTTAATAATATACAGTAAAAAATAACAGTCCTCATTTGAAAAACAGAAGTTCGTATCTCATAGAACACTTTTACGGAGTATAAACAATCTTAAAAATTTGAAAACACGATCTTCAAGTGTATTTGAAATACAAGAAAGGAGATTTTTAATAACTATTAACTGTGTATTAACACTGTTGATGAAAAAATAAGAGATTGAGCATGCTGAGCTGCTGGCCGCTGGGTGAGTCACTTGGATAATGTCATCATTTTCAAATAATTGTTTTCTCGTCATTTTAACACGGTACCGGTAGTAGGTTATCTCCCATACCGCGGTTTAGGACAGAGTACAGGATGAAATGGATGAAAATATTATATATAGTGTTGCAATACTATATTGATTTGAACTATAAAAAAACCAATCGCGCCCATCAAAAACCAATTTCCCGCGTTCCCGTGACACTGTTGCACTGTGAAATCACGACATGCATCTATTAAAATAATTTCCATAACGTATAATATTAAATTTGTATTTAATTCGTATTATCATTTTATCCGTATTACTATATAATAATATGATCTGTACCGTGCGCGGGATCAACATTACAGAGCGACGGACAGTTGACGCCAGCGCTTCCTAACGGTGAATAACTCGCAACATCGACGACACACCCATCACCCACACACACATACACGGTTACGGTCGTATGGTCTGTGGTAACGACCGTCCATTATCACACACAAACGGTTTCCACTTTCTATATTGTCTAAATAAATTTGTTGATAATTCGACATTTCACTTTATCGATTTTGGGAATAGTAAACATTCAGCAAATCCGCCACTCGCCACTACGTATCGGTTTGGATTAAAGTCGTTACGTCTAGCGTTCGTCGAGTACGGTCAAACATAACAGTCTCTGTCGTTTCTGAGACATGGCCGCGTCTCTGAAACGTCTCGAAGATGATAACGCGTCTGAGGAGAATGAATACGATTGTAAGATGAATTATAATTATTTTAGACGTTTTAACCATTTATTAGTATGTCTATGATTATAACCTATGTTATTATTCTTACTAAATATATTTAATATTATGCAGGTGTAAAGTATAATATTTTAAATTTCCTAGTAATTATATTGTTTTAATTGTTGTCAAACGATTCTATACTGATGGTCAACTGTTGTGTACTTATGAATCTTTATATATAGCTGAATCGTCAGAAGATCCTTCTTCGTCGTCTGCTGATTGTGCATCAACAACTAAGTCCGAGGACGATGTGAAGCCAAAAAAGAAATCCAAGAAAAATGGTTAGTCTATGTTTATAATATTTATAGTTGTATGTTTCACCTATTCAATTAACTATATAATTATAATAAACAAACAATTTTGTACTAACTATTACATCATTGTTTTTATGTGCAGCCGAAGTGCCAGAAGATGCATTTTCATCTGTTGCTTCTGCCTTGCTGACAAGCACTGATGTTAATGTCGACGAGGAAGGCTCAACATCAGAAATTAAAAAGAAATCTATCTCGAAAAAATCCATGAAAAAGGGTTAGTCTGCAGTTAGAACCATTTTTGGGACTTATGTGAATCAAAACTTAGTTATGTGATGTTAAATTATTATAGATGACACACCGACCGAATCAAAAAATGAATTTAACGAGTGTCCTGTATGCTTGGGACCAGTTGTGTTCCCTGTTCGTACTCCATGTGGTCACATCTTTTGTTTCCTATGCGTGAAAGGAGCAGCACGACAAGCTAACAGGTGTCCAATGTGTCGTCAGCATATACCTGTTGATTTTGACAAAAATCCTGATATTCTTGAACGCCAAGAAGTAGAAACATTTGAAGATGGTTACCAATGGTTTTATGAAGGCAGAAATGGTGTGTATTAAATTGTTTTTCAAAAATCGTAGTAATATTATGCACTTACTTTAGTATTGATTTTCCATGTTAAATATTTTAGGCTGGTGGCAATATGATAAAAGAACTTCTGAAGAAATTGAACATCGCTACAAACTTAATGTTACAAAATTTGATGTACTAATTTGTGGTATCATGTATACTATTGATCTCAACCGCAATATGCAATATAACAGAGAAAATCCAAGTAGGAGAAGGAAAGTGAAACGAGAAAATGCCAATAACATTGCTGTAAAAGGAATAGCTGGTGTTCATTAATTTCATATATATATACTTAATTCTATTTATATATTATATTTATTGTTCTTTATTCGTGCATGACACTAATTATGATGAATGGCATTTTAGGTGTCTATTTTATGTACTTAGTAATATTGAATTTAACATTCTACATACGTTCATTTTATGACAAATTTTGCTAATTCATAAATGTTGTCAATTTTATTCTAAGTATTTATTTTAAGATCTGGATACCAATAACCTTAAAATAAATTTGAAAAGTTATGATTAACTAAGAATTTGTTTTAATGATTACATTTAAAAAAAATGTAATGTTTATTTTTGGTTTTTATTTTTCAAAAAAGAAACTAATATATGGTTTAAGTTGTTGAAATCATCAAAATTTAAACCATATATTTCACATTATAAACTAGTCTTTCATTCACATTTAACTGGTATCCAGGACTTCTTGAAAAGTTTTAAGATTTGTTTCAGAATTTTAAATTATTTATTGTTCTTTTGATACAATGTGAATCAACTATTACAAATATTATGTTATGTCTTAAGTATAATTAGTATAAAAATTATAAGACTAAAGTTTTAACTGTACAAAACTTATTGGATTATTATTTTACAATGGTTTTAGTATTGATGTTGTATTATTTTCATTATTAATATCGCTACTCTTATACTGGCGGTTTGTCTTTTCATTCCATGGTTGTACATTTCCTGAGCCATATTGTAAAAATAACAAGTTGGTGGCTATTAGTATTGCAGCAGACAGCCAAAATACGTCTCGCCATTCTTCCATAGAACTCTAAATTAGTCAAAAATAACAATAACAATTATTTTAAACCCAATAATATAAAATTAAATTTTAATTTAATAGTTATACATTAGGAACCATAACGCCAACAATGTAAGGTGCAATAACTCCAGATAAACACCCAATTGTACCCACGATGGCCATCAATGTTCCGGCAAAGTTTGGACTGAGATCTAAGGCGTTAACTTTCAGACTGGGCACAAAAGTACCCATAAGTCCCATGCCTATTGTGAAGCTAGTTACTGCTAAAACCTTATCACATCCAGAATATGATGCTGCAATAATTCCAAGTGCTGGCCCTACACTGGCTAAAAAGTAATAATAATATTTTATTTATTTTGTTTTTAACTATTTAGTTCTGATCATTAAACTGATTTACCTATGGTTACAAATGTTTTACGGATGCAAGTCACAGTAAAATATTTTGATGATAGCATTGAGTCTACTATGAAACCTGAACCCATAGCTACCAACCACATTACTATGTATGGTAAGCCAGACAATAAACCATTCTAAAATAAAATAAAAATTTAAACAATATACATTGAAATACTGCATTATTGATTATATTTTATACTTCAACTACTGAAAACCTCAGCACTGACTTCATATACTTTGGCAGATCTGTAATTATGGTGAACAAACCCCAATCGTGACCTATTTGAACAATAATTAATCCCCATACTGGTCCTGATGTTGCAATACTTTTCCATGGAATTGATAACTTGCCCTGGATATTGAGTAAATTATTACATGTAATTCATTTATTATTATTGTTAAAAATATAATAATTATACAAACTTCTTCTGGATCAACAGCGTTAATAGCTGTGTTTAAATACTCTTTTTCTTTTGCACTGATAAATGGATGACGACTTGGATGATTGTATATCAATACAAACCAAAACATGAGCCAAAGTATACCAAAGATTCCAAACGCATAGAATACACTAGTCCAACTATTAGTATACCGCATAAGAAAGCCGCCTAACTGCATGGAAGCAACGTTACCTACTTGTGCTCCTAAAAAAAATAAACAAATATGCGTGTAAAAATAAATATTCATATCAAACAAAAACTAAGAGTGTGTTGCCTACCTACCGGCAAATACCAGAGATCCCAATCGACCTCGTTCTTCAATTGGTACCCATGTGGCAAGTAACCTGCTCATTGCAGGATATAATGGTCCCTAAAAAAATGTATTTTAGTTAGATAAATAAATAAACACTGCTGATAATCATTTATAAACAGTAAAAAAAAATATAAATTATTTTATATCTATACAACAAAAACTTTGATATAGGTAATTATGAAAGTTTTTATGATGCTTATGAAAATAAGTAAGTATACTATTCTTAACAAACAATAACAATATTTACTATTTGCATTTATAAAATTGTATGTTGAAATAAAAATTAAAGTACCTATTAAATTTTTATAATAATCAATAGGTTCACTAGCTATATAAGAATAATATTTACTAAAATCTCAAAAGCGTAGGTATTAACTATTTAGCATTAAAAAATTTTTAATTTTAATAATCTATCTAAGGTTTTAAAATATGCTACAATATTGTTTGTAATTTTTTTAAATTAATATATAAAAAAAAATAGTTTAAAGCAATACACATTTTTTAAGAGTGATTGAATTTCAAAAATCTTGATGACATTGGATAAATGACACATTAAATAATGATTTTTGATTTGTTATAAATTATAATGTTAGTGAAAATTATTAATTATAGAAACTTGTAAAATTACACTATTATTAAAATTAACATTTTCTATATAAACAATAAAATTTTCAAAATAATTAACCAATTTTGTTCTATTTATAACTATTTTAATATTGTACTCTTGTATTTGTACTTTGTTTTTTTTTCTACAGAATGAAGATCAATATTTTAAGTATAGTCTAAAAGCTTAAAAATATAATGAAAGATCATATATATCTAAGTAGTAAGTTATTCTTGTAGCACTTTGAAAGTTTAGAAAATACATAACCAAACATTTTTTTTTTAATTTGAAATCAAGTTTTAGCAAAATTGTAAAAATTTTAAATTTTTAAAAATGTATATTTTTTTAAAATTTTTATGAATAAGACTTGATACTGGGTTTCTCACTACAGAATCATTAAAATCACAATAATACATAATATGAAGCACCGTTTTCTAATTTTTAAGTAGATATTAGGATTTCAAATTTTGATAAAATTGGATGTATTAATGAAATTAATGATTTTAGTTATTTTATCATAATCTAAAAAGTATTATGTGTAGGGACTTGAAACTTTTTGTCATTTCATGTATTATAATTTACAATACAAAATTATTTTTATTTTTTTTAATATTTAGATTAACTTTTAGCTACTTATACTATTTTAGTATTTTACATTAAATACATACCCAATACTGTACAACCCCCATTTGAATTCCTAAAACGAAATAATTTATTTAACGTTTGATTTATGTTTAAATCATAAGCCGCTTAGTACTTTATGTAAAATATTACAATTTAAAAATTATCTGTAGACTTAATTAAAAATGGAAACCACGGTTAAATAGATACTACACGTCTACACTTACTTACGACTTAACAATAGGTACGTATAAAATATAATTATTAATTATTATTTTTACCAGGTATTATTTTTAAGTTTGATAATAGGTCAATTCACTCTTACAACATATTCATATTAACATTATTAACAGTAACCAATACAAAATTGGATATTTAATTCGTCAAAATACTAATTTGTTGTATTATAATGAATAGGTACCTACAAACGAATTGTAAAACAGAAAAATCGTATTCGGGTATTAATATTATCTACGTTTTATTGTTTACGACTGCCTATAGGTATAATTATTTTTAAACAATGAAATATAGACTAAAGACTAGAATACCTAAACTTTTATAAGTATTCATTCGCTAATTTTTACTAAAGTAACTAATGAGTGTTGCACAGTCACATAACATAAACTGCATTACTACGCACCTAGGTACTTAATATTATTTTAATCACCCATGTAAAAATAAATAATTACGAAAAGGACATAGGTTATGATTTAGTTATAATCTAATAACTCATAATTATCTAGTTTTATTATGAAATTATTTTATAAATGAATGAATGAAAAAAAAAGCAATTATTAATTTAAAATTTATTTAGAGATTGTGATTTGCGAGTTGCTTTAAATATATTTTTATAATAATTACAGCCAGTTTCACAAATAGGAACTTTTAATCTAGTTTAACATTTTATTCCTATTATCACAGAATGGCCTATGCAATTGTATGTACATGTATATATTTTTAAGTCATAATCCATAACTATTATCCATAACACTCAACTATTTAAATCTCAACTGTACAGTTTTAAATGTTTTAATTAATATAAATAATACTTCGACAATTATATTTTCACGTGATGATGAAAAATAATACGTATCACGCAGAGGTGTTCCCATTAATTTTTTTGAGAGTATACTAAGTTATCAAATACCAAAATATAAACATTTAATATAATAAAAATATTTTCTTATAGTTTATAAAAGTAAAGCCGGTAAAGAGCATGTTATTTAAAATGGAAAAGTTTTAAATATGATTTTTTAAATATCCTCTTTATATTATTTCGTCAATATTTTCAAATATTAAAATTAATATTTAAGATATGTAAATAATGTAAATATGGAAAAATTATTTAATTAAATTTTTTTTTATTTTTTCATTTGTATATGATTTGAGTATACTCATAATTTTGTAAAAATATTTTAAGAGTTAAAATTGCAAATCGATTGAGACTTGAGAGTATAGGTATTACATCCATAATATTGAAAAAAAATCTTGAGAGTATACGGCGTATATATAGTATACCCTATGGGAACATCCCTGGTATCACGTTCGCAACATGATGTGTAATGGTTTTTACTCGGTCAAACGTAAACCAAGTTTGGATTAAGGAGTATACTTTTTTATTTTCTCATAGAGATATTATAATTAAATAATACTTGATTATTAGAGATAAGATATCCATGTTTTTTTTTTTAATTGTCAATACATAAAGCATTGTTAAATAATTTGGTGGGTGGATGCTTGTCCCCTGATTCCATATAGTTTTACCTACATGGCTACGTGTTCCATATGAATTCATCAATATGTTGTAAATATTTTGTTTGAATATATTAATCGTTACTTTTGTACTATTAACTATTATGCATGACCTAAGCTACTGACTATTATTAATATTATAATCTGTAAAAATATGAAGTCCATACTTGAGCGAGTCCAATGATCAATCGCAGTATAATCAGTTCTGATGGCCCATAACTCCTGGCCACAAAAGGTGTGATGATCGTACCGATACTGCTAAACAGCATTCCTAAGCCCAGCGTGGCTTTGCCTCCGTATAAATCGGCCAACATGCCACCTGGCATCTGCGTGATAACGTACCCCCAAAAGAATGAACTTAATATTAATCCTTGGGTTTTTTCATCCCAATCGAATTCCATTTCCTGCAACAAAAAAAAAAAAGAAGAATAAATCGTTTTTACAGGTGTTAAAAAATTATATAGGACAAACATAATATAGTATTAATCAAAATTGAAAATATTCAAAAGGTCATATTTAACCTAATCTAATCAATAGTTTAAAAATTGAAAGAAAAATAAATAATTCGTCAACTAAATTAATTTAAATTATATATTTTAATATATAAAAAGATAACAATATATTAAATTAAAATAAGATTAAATTAAATTAAACTGATGACATTGAATATGAATAATGACAATTTTTATAATCATATAATTAAAATATTATTATAATTAGTGACATTACATTTAAAATAATTAAACCACTTAAGATACTTATCATAATATATATAAAAAAATAAAAAATAATACAGCTATATCTTAACTTTGAAATTTAAACAAAGAAAAACCATAAAAAAATACCATTTCGTTATTCAATTTTCATAAATTTGTGTAAAAACAATAAATGAGAAATCAAAATCAAAAATATTTATCAAATAAAAACTAGCAGTTTATATGAACTTTAGAATTAAAAATTTCAAAATTTTAAATTCTATAGCATTTAAAAAAATCTTATATTTATAAAACATTGGTTCGTTGAAAATCTCGTCTCTCGTCTCCACAGTTATTTTTTATTGAATTACAGTAAAAATAAAATCTTTTTTTTTTTTGTAAAATGTAGCTGGTGTTACCTACGTAAATATTCTCATTTCTCATTAAATTATTTAGTTTATTTTTTGAAAGTAGGTACTTTAACCCTTCGAAATACAAACTATATATCAAATTTACTACTATACTCCATCTTCTATGTTGAACATTGAAGCAGCAAATTTTGCTCAAAATAGTATCATAACTCATAAGACACAAAAAATAAATACATTATTATAAAATCAATACATTCATCGCTCATTCACTAAGAAACTTAAATAATGAAGTGCTAATATTAAATAATATGTAGTACTAAACGGGAAAATGTACAAATTCTCAATAAATTTTATTATGTACAAGAATAATAACTTAATGAAGGATGTATATAAGTATAACTATCATCTGCATCCAACCTACTGAATTTAAAAAATATGAGAGAATTCAAGCGATAAATTACTTTGCATATTTATTTGATAAATTACTACGATAACCTTGGTATTTTTTAGATATATAAACTTAAATTTCGATGATTTCATAATACCTACCCGTAAACATTTATCATATAGTCCAATAAAAAATATTATTAACAGTAACATCCGGTGTTAAGTTTTTATTATTTAATTATCCTATCCTATCTATTTATAGGTTATTTATAATGATAATATTAGGGCAATTGAACGATTGAGAACACTTCAAATTAATAAATAACTCACCGCTGCCCCCCCCCCCAAAAAAAAACCCAAAAAACAATACGATTGAGACGTATTTAAGTACGACGTTGCGTACGTATAATATCATTTATTTGGCTTTTGAAAATTCCATATACATAAAATAAATATTCTTGAAAACTATAATCGTATACAAATAAGCGCTTAATAATATATAATATATAATAAGAATAAAAATTTTAAATATGTAGAAATCATAAAAATATCTAATACCTGTGTAGTATATAAATATATAAAAAATGTAAAATATGCAAAACTTATAAAAATTATGAAATATATATGTATAAAAATAAAATAATCATAATATTTTGTAATGAAAACTTAATTACCTATATATCAGTTATAGTGGAATAGCATAAGCCAACATACTCTAAATAATTTAATAAATTATTAGTATTTTTATTTCCCACATACTACAAAGATTTACTATGAATATTAAGTATTTTATCCTTTTGTTATTTTGCCATTTCTTTTTTTTACTTTGTATCGTAGCTATTTTCAATATTGTTTTTGCTTGAGTTTCAATTAGAACTTTAATAACTATATATTATATTGTTGGATGAGAGCTGTAAAATTGACCATTATATCATTCTCTCGTATTTGGTATCTAAGTTACTATTAATATCCGGCATATCCGCCATTCGGCTAATCTGATGAAAGTCCAATAAATATCAATCGATTATTGTAATAGTGTGCTCATATTATTATCAATTGATTACATTTGGCAACGTTGGAAAAAATAAAAAAACTCGAGCGTTCTCTATCGTGCTACCAAAAATAATGTTCTCAATTGTATTTTACCGATTATTAGGTACACAAGTTGTATCATAATATTATTATCAAGATATATCATATGAACATTAGACCTTATAACTTATCTTATATATATATATATTATATACATATATGCATATTATACAGGAAAATAATACAATATGTATGTATAATTTTATATTATAAATAATAAATACGTAAATATCATCGTTACTGTTAAAAATAAATAACAAATACTATTCACATGACGTCATAATATATATTTGTGTACAGTAACTACCTATATAATATATTATTTTATTTATTTTACATCATACATATTAATCTAGGTAAAATATTTAAATTAGGCAATATTATAGATATTATATTATGATTTACAATATTTATCCTACAAAAAATCAACATAATAATATTATATATTAATGTACATACATAATTTAAACTATACAAGTATTATACAAGGTTATTCAAAATAAATCAAAAATCAGGAAAGATGGCACCTACCGTTAAATAAATTTAAAATATTATCTTATCTCTTTGATTTCTTCAGGTATCACATTATATTACTCTAAAACTAAAAATTAAAATTATTTAAGTTTTTTAAACCGGATAAATAATCTTGAATAATCATGTAACGTAAAGCATTGCTTAAAAAATACTTTTCGAGATGTTAGTTATTCCTTGTTATTTAATTATATGGATATTGTATAATGTCACAATACTAGAATAAATCAAAAATTAAACAAATATTCCTTTGAATTTATAAATATAAAAAATATACCTAGAAATATATATATTTTAATTTACTTCTAGCTTGTTAAGAAATTTAAAAATGTAAAATAATATTGATTATATTCTTTAAGCACAAACAGTTTTCGAGCAGTGTCAGTTATCTATCATCACGTATCAATCTGAATGATCAAGATAAAATTTTAAATATTTCACAACTTCAATCAAAAGGAGAAGTTCGTTTTTAAAATAAGTAAACAACTGTCAATTATGCATAGAAGCCTTCCCAACCTAGAAATTAGAAAATGATCATCTCCGCACACCATAGACTAAATAACTTGAATCGATATTTGTACAATATAAAGTTCAAAATACATAAAAACTATAATAATTAATGGCATTATTAATTATTTTAATAGATACCTATGACGTTCACATAACGTCATGACTCATGACGTATTGTTGAAATAACTGTGTATCAATTAATGCGTCTATTGAAGTCTAAACATTTATAATATTTGTTTACAATAACACATAATAATAATAATAATAATAA